AACAAGCAAGACGGGAATGCCACTACGCAGTGAGAAAAAAGAATGAGTATAGGGATGATTGGGGAAAGGACAAATTATGAACGGGATTCAAGAAGATAGAAGATGGCGATTGATGTTGCATTTGATTTCTTGAACATTGTAGTTATCAGGGAAGCAAGTAAACGGAAGGGAGTTCTACAGGCGAGAAATTCGAGAAAAATTTTCCTTGCTAACCTTTTATTGACATTATTTTCTATTCGAGTTATATGCTCTTTTCATTTGAGTTGTTGCTCTTCTTGAATGTCCTCAGGTGAAATGGTTTCTGTTATCCCATACACTTCTTTGTTTCTTATTCTGTAACACAAGTCCACGACGATATAATTCGCCACATACAAGGTCAACCACATTTTTACATGTCAGTGAGACAGCCACTCAAAGCAACAGAAGCGCAGGTCTGCATAAGCAGAGTATTAACAACTATCTTTTTAAGATTATTCCTCGTTCTGGTGAATGGACTTCGAAGATGGAAGCCAGATTATGAATATTGGTACCATTATTAGAGGCTTGAATGATCTTTTTCCTCTCACCGTTGCACATTTGAAAAGAAATAGTGGGGCTGACACAACACCATTTTAACCTGTTCTCTTTCTAGCTGAATAACTCAACGGCTTTTTTCAGTGATTCTTATGAAAAACAATCTCAAGATGTCTAAACTTCATTCTGAAAACCTGGAAAACAGAACTTCAATTAGTTTTCAGATATTAAACATTTTTTGGTATGGATAATTATGCTGTTACACGATTTGGAAAATTATATGAGCAAAGTATGGGTTTTATTCTGGCCTACGAACGCTGATAAAAAAATTATTCGGACGGTTACTATGGTAACTGAGTTAGCGTACCCAGGGTAAAGCTGCTTGGCACAAATTGATCTGACACGCCGACGATCATATATACTAATTTATAACTTACTCGCTCAGTTCTGTTGTTTGTGAAAGGGCTTGGAAGGAAATCCAGAAATTTGATTGTGCAGCAGTTATGGTCCAAGCACTATATGACCCAGGTCTGGTAACCACCATATTCGCCAGATAACTTCCCCTTCCGCCTTTTTCCTCTAAAAGAATAAAAATTCCACATGAAAAGAAGACCAAAGAAATCGGGGTGAATGGGACGAGAAAGCAGTCCAAAAAAAGTAATTCCAGGAATGCTTCCATGGATGGAAACAACGCTGGATAAAGTGTGTGGCTTCAGAAGGTGACCATTTCAAAGGAGATTAAATGGAGTATCGATATGTATTGTAGGTTTCTTTTTGTAGCACAATTCCAGATACCTTTCGTTCAGCTATCGGGTTCTCACCTTAAACGGCTTATTCTGCGACTGTATAAACTGTATGGTTTAGACTATTTTATACTCAGTTATTAAAGGGTCTAGCCTGAAATATCAGCGCCTAAACTCCGTACTGTGGCCTTATTCTGACCCGTTGAACCGCCACAATTAGTTTAATCGCATAATTCCTACAGTATATCAGGATTAATTAGTACGATACGCTTATAATTTCTAAGCTATTTTTTACCGTGTCAGGATTAATATTTTCTAGTTGTCAAAAATTCTCTGCTTATTTTATGATATGTAAAATCTCCAGCAACATGTCTCTCCCAGATGAGATTACGATCACAGCAAGTTGAAATACTTGTACGAACATCGAAGTTATGCAACGCCGAGCCTCGTCAGCACCATATGGTGTATACTTGGACGTGCGAGTTTTGAAAAGGATAAGGATTCAAAATTAGAAATCAGAAAACCGAATTCTAATTCAAAGGGGGCGACTTCGAGGGATATTAAATGCCAAATTAATATGTTATGTAGTTATATTTATATCGCACCAGTCCTGATACATTTTGATCAAACAGTGCGCATATATATATATATATATATATATATATATATAGTAATCGACATCAGTTTCGCTGTATCACAGTTCATCAGTGTGCATAAACATCCGATTTGATATCAGTCAGAGATCCTACCCCTAAAATATCGAGGGTAGCATCTAACTAGAGAAAGGAGAATTTTAACGTATTATATACGGATGTAAACAAACGCCAGCATCCAGAGGGCTCAATTCATTAATGACAAGTGGTGAGTTAATAGCGACAGCGGAGCCTACTGATTTGAAATTACACTTTTCTCTACAGTGCTCTATCGAAATAACTAGGGGGTAATATATATATATATATATATATATATATATATATATATATATATATATATAGTTTTAAGTTCTACTATATTTATGGAATAAAATGTTCAATACCAGAGATAGATCGTATGTAAATATAAATACAAAAGTGAACATTGAAGTGAAAACTCAGAGGCGACAGGCTGTATCATGCTCGGCGAAATCGTCAGGCCGCGATTGTTGGTTTTCTTCTCTCGACTATTTACATAATATATGGATTAGTGGTGCATTGTGGGTATTCTATTCTGGCGGTTATTTTAGCAGGAGTGACTGCTTTATTTATTTATTTATTTATTTTGGTTAATTTATTTTATTTGTTTTTTTTTTATTTTCATTTTTTATTTTATATATATTTATTTATTCTTTTCGATTTTCGAAGTTTCATTAATGTAGTAAAAAATTAGGGCGGATTTGTTTAGGTCACTTATTTATTAGTTTGTTTTTGTCTGAGAAGAAAAAGCTATTTACTCGTCCACTTTTTGGATGGATTCCCGCAACTTATTCTGTGTCAGTTTTTAATTTGTTTATTATTTTATTTATTTATTTGGATTGATTATTTTTATTAGTTTTTGCTTATGCACGTTTATAAATAAACATAAATAAGGAAAATAATCGCCGGAATTGATTACCCACAATGCACCACTGACCCATATGTATAAATAGTCGATAAAAATATATAGTTTCATGGAAGATTGAAGTTTATAAGCAGTAAATTCGACCTTGCCAATCGAACGATCCTTTGTGGCCGAGCGGTTAGGCACGTCAAGCTGACAGTTCCGTATAGAATGCAGGTTCCTGTCAAAGGAAGAATAGTTTCTATAAAAATTTCTCGGACATTCAGGCCGGTAAATGTTATTTAATACTGTTTATTATAAACAGAGCATTTACAAAAATACTTGTATCTATAAAAAGAATGTTAAACATAAAAATATATATATATATGGGGTTGTTGGGGCATATCACGTGGAAACACTGTTTTGTGGCCGATTAGCAAAAGTAAACCACGTCGAAGCTGGTCAGTAACCCAGATGGATGAGCGCTTGGGAATAAGAGGTTGTGTGCGCTTGGATGTTCCGTGTCGTTTGGTGTATAACGGCTCGGAATGATAAATCGGAGCGCGGATTTCCTGTTCACATCGTGTTCGTTATACGCAGAAATATTCTTGGGAAATGTATGAATCCACCTCTTCTCCCTCCAGCTATGGGTTAATTAATAGGACTTTATCAGAAAATCATTATTATCTTCCAAAAATTCTTATAATATGAAATATATTTTCTATCTTTAAGCAACCTGCAAAAAATCCAACCAATCAAAAATAATCTTCGAAATGAGAAAAAAACCTTAATATACTATTTTTGAAATTAATTGAACATCCGTATTTTGCTTATATGTCATTTCAATGTCTTTAATAGAAATAAAATGACGTGTGCTAAAAATTGTCTATAGTTTGTCTTGAACTCGTTCAAATTAACGCAACTCCGATGTAACCGTAAGTTCTATGTTAACAGCTTCTTTTCACGCACTTCTTGTTTGTGGAATTCATTTCTGGTTCCATACTTTCCAGACAACCATAATCTTCAAAAGTTTTAAATGCAATGTCAACCGTCATCTACTGTCCTCCTTATTACTGTCCTTTTCTCCCCGTTCCGTAATAATGTTTCAGTTTTCTAATTCTTCCACCCCGGCTAAGCCCTTGTTTCTTAGTGGCTTTACAATCTTGCTTGGCTTTAACTCAATTTAAAACAAAAACAACATTGAACAGTCGATCATTTTAGCTGTCTCAATCTATAGTCGAGAGAGAAAATATCATAAAAGTTTGAAGCCAGATTTATCTGATAAAATAACGAATATCTTTCGTATTAAAACCCGGTGACTTCTTTAAGAAATCTCAAATGGAACAAAAACAAAAGACAATGTTCTGTTGATGTCACCTTGTTTAGAGACATGTCTCCTCGAATAGGCAACTGTTTACGACACCAACAAAAGAAACCAGATCAAATAAAAGAAAGTCTCTATCTGAATTGAAGCGTCACTGAAGCTCCTCAGAATGAAGCGTGGGAGATTGGCTCAGATGAAAAGTTAGCGCGTCATTCGCAACTCATGAGGGATAGGTGCCATCTTGTCATTATTTTCTTTATTCTTTTATAATTCTTGCATTTCTTCAATTCTGCCATGCTCGATCATCTTAGAAGTTTCTCTAACGCCGTCGGATGAAGAAGACATTGGGAGTGTCCCCCCACTAGTCGTCGGGGAATGTTCCAAATCGGCTTTTCGCGTTTGGGGTTGGTCAAACCAACCACCCAATCACTTGTCAGCTCGTGTTTTTGATGTCAAATAATCTTCTTTATCTGGTCGCCACCAATGGTTAGATAATTAAAGAGATTTCGCGGTGATTGTAGTTTGTTGGTTGGTACTGTTCAAATAAATTTGTCTGCAAATTCTTCAGCTGTCTTTTCTTAAATATCTCATCTTAAATATCGAAATAAAAGCAACGGACACGTTGAGGAATGACTTTCCACAAAAAGAAATAATACAAATCCTCCAATAGAAAAAATTGAGCAGATTAATAAACAGCTTTACACAATTAATATTTTACAAAAATGTTTTACAAGTTTCGGTTCAAAATTAATCCATACTATTTCCTTCTATTAACTTGCGTCTCTAGATTTGTATGTTGGTGGTATAAATAATAATTTTGAAACTTCCTGAAAAACATATTAATATTTTTCAGATAGTAACGCCGTGCCCACCGCTGAAGAAACCACACACATTGCAGCAAAATTACAGCAAACAGAAGTCTCCTTCGTTATCGGAACAAACCAGATGAATCGCACAAACTAAGACCGCCATGCACTGAATGAAGAAAGAGCTATCGACCTGTTAATCCTATCGGTGTTCGTACCTGTTGAGCTTTCCCGTGTTGAGTCAAATTAAGCTGGAGGCTCTACTCCTGGTGGCGACCGTCTGTCAATTCCGTTAAGTTTCAGCTAAGCAAACATTCCCGCAACCGAACACTGCTTTCCCCAGGATACCCGCCGGGTCATGGTTTGCCTGTCGGCATCGTTTTTCTACGACGGTATCTGATCGTGTTCGAACATCTGACATTCGCTCTAGATCAAGGAAAACGTGATTTCCCCATTCCATCACTGCTGTTTGTCTTATGAGGATACGAAAATTTCACCTCTAATGTGGTAATACGAATGGCTCCGTCTGCTCTCTTGGATTATCGCAGCACCGTAAACGGACGGTGATAGACGTAGACGAGTCCCTCTTCCAACATTTTATGCTTATTGTATGTAACCTTAAACATGCCCCTCTCAGAAAAACAATTTTTATATTCAAAATGAACGTACCAGTCGCTACGTACAATCGATGAAGAGTATCCTTGGAGGAGAAACGGCTGGCATAAGTGTACATAAGAATATTTCTCTATGAATTCCTCAAACCACAAAGTTTCTACCGGTGGCTGTTCGTCAGCATTTGTTAAAGGCTTTGAAAAGCAAACAGTGTATATTAACACATGTAATATGCGATTCGATCCAGAAGATAAACTATTTCTTGTGTGACAAGCCGCGATATGAGCGGCTCCGCACAGCTGTCAAATCTAGAGATGAAGACAAAGAACCAATGATCCTTCCAAGTCCTTCATAGAAGGTATATCCATTAAGAGCATTGTTAACTGCCAATCATCGGACACCCAAGAGACCAATGACGGAGTTCTACAATGTTCTCTTCTCGGCCATCATTTATATCTAATTTATATGATGATCTGCCTAAGAACCTACTCATATATTTAATGAAGCTGTGTAGCTCATCTCCAGACTGCTATAGCTCTGGTGATGAGGGTAAGGGCTCGCTTGCAACATTTAATATATCCAAGATCAATCTAGTAGAGTTCCACTATCAACGAACAAACTCTGAATTTACTCGTATCATGATGAATAGGTGTTATCTCAAATAGGTTCAGGGCTGACGATTGCATCAAGCATGAAACAGACTGTCGGCCCTAAGTGTTGATGTCTATGTTCACTTTTATATTTACACACGCTCTATCTCTGATATTGAGCACTTTATCCCATAAATATACACATCTTAAGACTATATTTCTTCATATATATATATATATATATATATATATATATATATATATATATATATATATTATCCATCGTAATAGACGCTTGTAAAATTATTCATTTTTATAGCGTTCCAAAAGGTATTTGACTCCACCCGCTATGCTTTACACCCACAATGACGACATCAAACTAAACATTGTGTATTGCTACCATATCAAGGCATGATATGTCTAGCCATCATTTTCCTGTCTATATAAAGTTTGAAATATTTTCCACCAGACAAACCCCTTCCCATAGATGAAAGGTCGCAGGTCTCCCAGTGCCTCATCGCTGTTCCCATGTCAGTCTTTTGAACAGGAGTAGAGGTCTTGTTTCTTGTTTAGAATTGGGTTTCCGGCTCCATCTAGAGTCGACTTCAACTCTGTATTGCTAACGTCTCTGTGCTTTAAAAGTTTATTTACTAAATATTTTTCTCCTCAATAGAAGCTGATAGGTCTTTATATCGCCTGTTTCACATTCCATCAGTGCACTTGAACAGGAGAAAAAGCCTGCCTTTTAGTCCATGTTTAGCATTGAGTTCCTAGTTCCTTCGAAAGTCTTCTCATTCTCTTTCACTCCCAGTAGCCCCTTGTTTCTTACTGGCATTATCGCCTTGCTTGGGGTGAATTGATTAAAATGTTAACTGTTATCTTTCCTATATAACCTCATAAGATTTATTGAGTAACACTCTATCTTGAGTGACTCATGGGCTTTGTATTGAGTGAATATGAGTGTAAGAGAAAATAGCATCCAAGCCCAAAATCAATAATTGTGATTCTGTGAAAATAATAGGAATTTGCGCTACACCTATTCATCTCGTGAAGTACGCTCATCATCTATTGTATTACGGGATCTGATACAGATGGGTAGCAAACTAATTTGCAAGTCAACATGTTTATGCACTTGCTTTCTCTAACCTACCCGTGTAACACTGACCGCGAGGTTTATTTTGGTAACATCGTAGATGAAACGAGTCGCATACTACACCAGACAAATGCCGTGACATACAGAATAAAACCGTGTCTCTTGTTTTTTAACATTGTAATCGGTTTTTCCTTTGTCATCCAAATCAATAATTTACATTATGTCGAAATCAAAAGTTGTTTTTTTTTTATTTACCATGGCGTGTAATAGCTTGTTAATATTTAATAATAAACCACAATATGATCTACTAACTCTGTTATTTTGATGTCAAATTAATCAATATATTATGTCATATATAAAATAAAAAAAACTGTACACGAGTCTTATTATTTCCGGGAATTCTGTCGCTTGATTTATCTTAAGACTGCAGAATGATTTTTTTTTTTTTTTTTTTTAAAAAGATTTATTTTTTTGTCTTTGTCGGCTTCGTGACTGAAGTTACTTATGAAACCTAAGTGTAAATGACAGAAGAGATTTTCTATCTATTCTCTAAAGATTTTCATATTTCTTAAATTCGCCTTTTTTTCTTTATTGGTTTTTAATAGTTCTTCTCTAGCATGGGATCGTTAAGTATATATTAGTTTATTTCCATATTTCAAATAATAATTATTACAATATTTTGTTCCATTTTCGGCACTCTTAAAGGATGCTCGAATGATTGTACTGGACTTAAATCTGTATAATCTAATGGCAGTGACAATGGGTCAACGTATGTGCAGACTCTGTTTTAAAGCTTTGTCTGCTTACTTTTAGCATAATCCGTTCATATCCACAGATATTTTTTCCGTGTGTTACAATCAAATGATGCAAGAAATGAATTGTAACAGTGAAAATTACTTTTATTTCCCAAGTAGTTTCTATCTCTTTCTGAGATCATCATCAGGAGCGCAACTGGTAAATCAAAAACTATGTGTAGCTATCCATTACCGAATTTACCTTTATCGTTTGAATGCAACGGCTGGCAGTTACGATTCAGCGTTCATTAGAACGTGACAAATTATACTATTTACATTATTCGAACTGCTGTGCTCATGTTTGTCGCCATATTTATTACGGCGTTTCGGCCGTTGTACGCTCCGGCCTTCTCCAGGTGGTTGAAATGACGAACTAAACCGTTTATTTTGCTCACTGGGGTAAACTATTCTAGTTCCACGTGCCATGTTTAATAGATGTCAGTTATCAGTTATCCTCAAGGACACATGGCACAGTGGATAAATACGTTGGTTAGATCCAGTGACAGGACCCAATAAGGCAGGAGATAACTGATAACTGTCATACATCAAACATGGCATTCCAAACACCTGAAGAAGGCCGGAACATACAACAGCCGAAACGTTGTAATAAATATGGCGACAAAGATGAGGACAATAGTCCGAATAATGTAAATAGTGTACATAATACCTTATCTCAGAAATACAGACAGTGACAAATTATCCACTAGGGATTTTTTTTTTTTATTTTGGAATGTCATGGTCAAGCGCTTGGGAAATAAAAGTGATTTTCCATGTTACAGTGCATTTCATGCTTCGTTTAATTGTAATACACAGAAAAATGTCCGTGAATATGAACCGTTTATGCTAAAAATAACCAGCGATATTTGTAATTTATTTAATCAGACAGAGAGAGAGACACACACACAATATATATATATATATATATATATATATATATATATATATATATATATATATATATATATATATATATGCAGTGTATCTTTATTCGAACGTGTTTAATTTACTAATATGAACGTATTTTGTATATTTTATACTGATCCTCTCCAGTTGTCTAATTACTTAACATGAAATTAATCAAGAAAGGCGCCGTATTTTCTTCTAACCCAAGTACTTTCGATCTTTATTCTGTAACAGCGCGCGTTCGCGCGTGTTTTAGAAAATCACCATCACAATGGAATGCAGACTTTAGCGCAGTTACAATAAGTTTTCTTTGTAATTTATCCCTGAAGATGATCTTGCAAATTATCGAAAGTACTTGGGTTACAAAAAAATACGGTGCCTTCCTCGATGATTTTTATCTTATCATCAAGAAACTCGTTAGACAACTGGAAAGGATCAATATAAAAATAAAAAGATACAACATGTCTATATTATTCAATGAAACACACACACACATACACACATACACACACGTATAGACAACCACACGCATATATATGTAGTACGGTGAAATTCATGTAGACGGGGCACCAGAGATCAATGCTTGCCAGAGCAGTTGTCATTAAATTATTTGTAGAAAAGTCAGAGGAATGTTAAGTTACGTCGGTGATAAAGTGAGTGAAATCGAGATGCCTCGGGGAGATCTATCACATTGCAGATCCTTCCTTGGATTTGGTCAAGAAACGCGATATGAAATATATTTATAATATAGTAACACATCCAAATTTAACATTAAGGTGTCAATATGTACTTTTTTTGCTTACGAATGGTTTAGTGGAACTATTCTCTTATATTTTGAAATAGCTTCTTCGTCTTCTTCTTCCTCTTCTTCTTCTTCTTCTTCTTCTTCTCCTCCTTCTTCTTCTTCTTCTTTGTAACAATTTACTTTAGGTTTTTGGCGATCATGACTCTCCGGTGTCATTTATAACTCTTAATAAATTTTATCTTTTTGTTCTCTCTCTTAAACTTGGATCTATAATCCATTTACTCAAGCTCTCTACGTATGTCATGAGTTGCTTTCCGCTTTGTTCAATGTGTCTTGTGAGTATCAAATTTTCCAAGCACTCTTTCCTCGTTCTGTATAATATAAAGAGTAAATTGTCTCTTCCTGATGTTAACTATAAGTGTACTTTTTGTTCCCATTTTCTCTAAAACTTCGACATTGTTCTCATGTTCTGTATATGTTATACTCAGCATCCTTCTGTAGAAACAGATTTCTGTTTCTTCAAGTCTTTTCTAGACTTTAGAGTGTGTGGAGTTTGTCTAGTATTTACATATAGAAGGACATATTTTCCATAAGACTTCAGTAATATTTCATCTGTTTCTACCGAAATTTGTCCTGTTTATTAATACTTTTCTTAGCATTTGGAAGGCATCTTTTTCTATCCTGATGCGCCTTCGGATTTTGGATCCGTACTTTCTATTCTATGTTAAAAAAAAATTCCTACATATTTAAATTATATTTCATTAATTGCAAAATGATTTCGTTCAATATCTTTATTCATTATGTCGTATGCACTTGTTTATTAATATTCATTGATATCTAATGCATACAATTCATCAAGGCATTCGATTGACAAATTATATGTATACTGAAGCAATAATATTCATAGATGGGTATTGGAAATATGAAATTCCCTCTGTAAGAAAGTAAGAGTTATAACACTTTCGCAACCCCAAGATTTACGTGCACACCTCAAAAATTCTGTTGTCCACCGATCACGAATAGGTTTTTCTTTACGTCTGTTGCAAGCAATGCAGTCCATACTAACTGCTTGAAAACGATACTTAAGGCACCAGTTAATGTAATTAACAATATTGTTATAAAACTGTGCTCTAATCTTCCAAACAGTGATGTCTTCGTCGAACACCAGCCATAATACTTGGTGTGAGATGAACGGTAAAGTACGTGAATGATAAATGTAAACAGTACAAAAAGCATAGTCAAAAAGAAAAAGTTATTTCTTGGAGAAAAATTACACTGCCGCGAAGTATTACAAAAAGACGGGGATACGAAAGAGTAATAGCGCCAAAAATTATTCATTATTTGGAATATATTCTAAAAGGTGAGTACCATGTCATTTACAAAAAAAAAAGTAACTTTTATTACTCCTCTAGAATCCTCTTCTTCTGCAACTATACTAGTCTCTCTCTTTCTCTCTCTTTCTCTCTCTCTCTCTCTCTCTCTGTGCATTGTGTGTGTACATGTATGAGTGTGATTTGCCTATTTAAGTGCGTGCACCTATAAGCATGTATAAACTTAGCTTAGATGAGAAAATCCAGAAATGCAGTGGTTTATCTCTAGGCCCGCCGTAAGCCTCCCCATATATATATATATATATATATATATATATATATATATATATAGCTCAAAACGGATTTATTGCTGTTTTCATGAAAATTCAGTAAATGGCTATGTATAGAGGAAAAAGACAAGCACAGCCAATGATTACTTTATCATTAGCTGAAACTATCTAAAGAAATTTGTTAATTTAAAGTAAAAATAATCTTGCAACTGACAATAGCAAAGTAGTCTTGATCTAACTATCCATCAATTTCATTTTGATCATTATCTATCTATCTATCTAGCTATCTATCTGTCTGTCTGTCTGTCTGTCTGTCTATAGTTAGATAGATAGATGTCTCTTTGTATTGTTTCTGTTTACGTTAAGATTCTTTGAAAAAATCTATAAATAACATAGATCAAGATATATATATATATATATATATATATTTTATATTTATATATGTGTGTGTGTGTGTGTGTGTGTATATATATATATATATACAAATACACACACACACACACACATATATATATATATATATATATATATATATATATATATATATATATATGTACCTACCATAATGCAATATAAAAATGCTACTATGATCTTGTTCAGCCTACCATCAAGCAATATAAAAAAAAATTAGTAGTTGTGCTCTATTGTGCCTATATCTGGCAATATCAAAAATTGCTACTTTGGTCTTATTGTGCCTACCCTAACGCAACATAAAATTCCTTACATTATTCTTATTCTACCTGACATCACGCAATATAAAAAATGCTACTTTGGACTTACTCTGCCTACCATCACGCTATATAAAAAAATGTTACATTGGTCTTATTCTGTCTAGCATCACACAATATATTAAAAATTCTACTTTGGTCTCATTCTGCCTAAAATTACACAATATAAAAAAAATCTACTTTGGTCTCATTCTGCCTAACATTACACAATATAAAAAAATCTACTTTGGTCTCATTCTGCCTAACATTACACAATATAAAAAATTCTACTTTGGTCTCATTCTGCCTAACATTACACAATATAAATAATTCTACTTTGGTCTCATTCTGCCTAACATTACACAATATAAAAATTTCTACTTTGGTCTCATTCTGCCTAACATTACACAATATAAAAAATTCTACTTTGGTCTCATTCTGCCTAACATTACACAATATAAAAAAATCTACTTTGGTCTCATTCTGCCTAACATTACACAATATAAAAAATTATACTTTGGTCTCATTCTGCCTAACATTACACAATATGAAAAATTCTAATTTAGCCTTATTCTACCTACCATTTAAAAAAAAATGCTACTTTGGTTTTATTCTGCCTTCCATCACGTAAAATTAAAAATGCTAGTTTGTCCTTATTCTTCATATCTATACTTTTTTACCTTTTTTTAATATTTTTTTTCAAATATTTCTTTTTGTTTCCTTTTAGTTTTATTAATTTTTTGGAAAAAAGCTTTGGAAAAATTATTTTGCATTTTTTCGAAAATTTTGCTTTTTTCTGCTTTTTTTCATTGTTTTAATTATATTTTTTATCCATTTATTTCTTCAATTCATATTTTTCAGTTTTTCCTTCATTTATACATTTTATGTTCTCATTCTTTCATGTTTTTCACCTTTTGTTTCATTCATATTTTCCACCTTTTCTATCATATAAATATTAATCTTTTCTTTCATTTCTACTTTCATCTTTCTTCCAATCATATTTTTCACCGTTTCTTTCAATAGTTTTTTCATATTTTCTTTCATTTCTTTTTTCATATTTTCTTCCATTCATATTTTTCACCGTTTGTTTCATTCATATTTTGTTATCTTCTTTTTCATTCATATTTTTCATCATTTCTTTCATTTCTGTTTTCACCTTTTCTTGCGTTAATATTTTCCACCTTTTCATTCATACATATTTTTCATCTTTTCTTTCATACATATGTTTCATATTTTCATTCATACATATTTTTCATCTTTTCATTCATACATATTTTCATCTTTTCTTTCATACATATTTTCATCTTTTCTTTCATTCATATTTTTCATCTTTTCTAGCATTCACATTTTTCATTTTTTTTATTCATATATTACACCGTTTCTTTCATACATATATTACACCGTTTCCTTTATACATATTTTTCATCTTTTCTTTCATTCATATTTTTCATCTTTTCGTTCATTCATGTTTTTCATTTTTTTATTCATATATTCCACCGTTTCTTTCATACATATTTTTCATCTTTTCTTTCATACATATTTTTCATCTTTTCTTTCATTCATATTTTTCATCTTTTCTTTCATTCATATTTTTCATTTTTTTTATTCATATATTACAGCGTTTCTTTCATACATATATTACAGCGTTTCTTTCATACATATTTTTCATCTTTTCTTTCATTCATATTTTCATCTTTTCTTTCATTCATATTTTTCATTTTTACTTTCATTCATATTTTTCATTTTTTTTATTCATATATTACACCGTTTCTTTCATACATATTTTTCATCTTTTCTTTCATACATATTTTTCATCTTTTCTTTCATTCATATTTTTCATTTTTTTATTTATATATTACACCGTTTCTTTCATACATATTTTTCATCTTTTCTTTCATTCACATTTTTCATCTTTTCTTTCATTCATATTCATCGTCTCATCTTTTTCAACTCGGCTTTATCATTTCTTTCCTGCATAGATACTGTTTTTCTTTCTTTATCATTGTTTTTCATTCATGTTTAATTGTTACTTTCTTTCATTCTTTTTCCCCATTTTCTTTCTTTCCATCATGTGTCAATTATTTCTTTCATCATATCGTTCATTATTTCGTTCATTCTTTTAGGTTTGAAATTATTTTTCTTCCATTCAAATTTTCGCCGTTTTTCTATTGTTAATCATTCCACCGTTTCTTTCTTCAAACAGCATTTCTTGATTTTCAAAATGTTCGTTCTTTTTTGTTATGACCGTTCCACTATTTGGGTCTACAAAAATCCACTAAAATTTAATCTTAAAGATCCACCTAAACTTTATTCTAACCATTCTTCCCAATTCTTTTTGTGTGCTCGAGTGCATTATACATTGGTAACCTTATTTATATAAGATCTGTTTTTTTAGAATAGGTACAGAATTTCTTTTTTTTAAGCTTGTTGATTCATTCACACGATTATTTATGCCTTGAATTGAAAGGAGAATATTCCTCAGTTTAAACGAATACTGAGGATACAGAACCTGTTTTCAAATATTGTAGAAATTTCATACTCAATTTATGCGAAATCTTTAAGAGAATACATAAATTTATTTAAGAGAATCTATCGAAGCCTTTCCATTAATTAATCCATTATTTCTTCCTTTCCTTTCCATTCAGTTCTTCAATGGGCAGTTTTCTTGCAATGTGATTTATTATATGTTCCTAATTTAGATTTAATATCGTTATTCGCTTGTTCATTTATTTTGATAGAAGATATGTTTTTTCCGATCACTTATTTTGACTCCATTTGCAACATTTTAATTATAGCCCGTGGGTTCAGCTTGAAAGGGACATTTGCACCGACAGTCTCTGCTATTTTTTTTATAATCTTTGATCCTTTTCTCAAATATTTTTCAAAAGTTTCTCAATAAAATCCCTAAAAGACAAAGCAATAAAAAGAAACAGTGATGACAATAATTATTTTAACAAAAAAAGGTAGATAGCAGAGTAATAAGACAACTACACCCTTGCATGAATTAATTGAAACAATAGCCTTAGTGTCACTTCTTTCACCATGCGGTTAGTTTTAGACGCACTGAAGTTACAGGGTCATATATATATATATATATATATATATATATATATATATATATATATAGAGAGAGAGAGAGAGAGAGAGAGAGAGAAAAGAGAGTGTGAGAGAGAAATAGATAGATAGATAGATAGTTGAATAAGTATTTCACCCCAAGCAAGGTCGGATTTCCACTAGCACGCAAGGTGTTACAGAGACTGAAAGTAAGAGAAAAAAGTGGTGTTTAAGGAAAAGATAAAGTGAAGGACGGCGAGCAAAAACAAGGCATCTGAAGATATATATATATAATAATTTTTTGAAAATTATAGTTATCAGGGAAGTAAATAATAGGAAGAGAGTTCCACTGTCGGGAAGTGCGAGAGAAGGAAGCTCTTGGCGTAGGTGAGGCGGTTACATTTAACTGTTTCAGTAGTAAAAGTGTTGGACAGATATACCAAACTAGTAGCACGCTTACATTCATACAGTTGGAGCGCCAGTGAAAACAGCTCGTCAGAGCAGTTTTCCATGAAAGAATTTGTAGAAGAGTCAGATGGAAGCGATATCACCTCTGTGAGAAAGTGACTGAAGTCAAGATGCCACATTGCATATCTATCTTTGGATTTTTTCAAGAACCTCGAGATGAACAGCGGTGGCACCGAACAATATATAGCAAAGGTATTCAATGCAAAGACGAATGGTAAATTTGTAGATTTGAAGGAGGGACTCAGACAGGAAAAACCATCTGATGCAACAGAGAGTATCATCTTTCCTTATCGTAGATACAGCTATTGATTCAATGTAGTTGCCCCACATGCTGATAAGAAGCAGGGAAGTTTCTCTATGGTGGGTAAATGAGAGCAGTTTCATTTTGGAGGCATTCAAATTTACAAGCCATTCCCTGCCACAGTCAACCAAAATTGGAGGTCCTTTCGGGACCAACCACCAGGTTCATTTTGTCAACAAAGCTGGATTTACTATTAAGACAGAAGTAAATGGCAGTGTCGTCTGCGTAGATTCCTACATGCCTACATGAGAACTGATGACATCAGGAAGAAATAATGTAGGAACCAGAGATAAGCTTTCGGATGAAAGGGACTCGAGAAAAACCCGTTTACGACGACCTTCATTTGACGCTTTTACCGGAATGATTAGATTAAATCAAATAATAGCCCTGTAATACCGTATCACTGAATCTTACGCAGAAGGCCGACATGTCAAATCCTATTAAACACCTTAGAGATATCTGGAGCCACAGCTGCAAATTCGCCGTTATTATCAAGAGCTTTGTATACAAATTCAGTTATGACCTTAAGCATATCAGCGGGAGACCGGACAAAGCGGAAACTATATTGTTTGTCAGAAAGTAAATCATGGGAGGTATAGTGCATAACCAATTCGGCATTGATTAAGGCCTCGAAGACTTTTCCAGAGAGAGGTAGGAGACTGATAGCACGGTAGTTAGATGGATATGAAAGGTCTACAGAGTATTTAAAATCTGGGACAACACTTGAGAAATTCCAATAGGCTGAAAGCTAGAATCAACGAGGGAATAGTTATATAGTTTAGAGAGAACTGGAGCCAATCTAGAAGCACATTTCTTTAGGACTACGGCTGGTATTCTGTCACGACCACTTGCTTTGTGAGAGTCTAATTTAGAGATGATGCCCAATACCATGGACATACTCATGCTCATCTCACTCAGCAGAGCTTCGGTTATAGGGGGAAAATAAGCTGTGGGTATTCTGGTTGAGTCGAGCATTGAGCTGGCTAAGAATTTCCAAGGAAAACATTCAGCAATATATGCTGTGGAAGTTAGGACTTCGAATTGATTGAATAGAGGGGAAATTGAATATTTGCTGTTGTTCAGCAAACTCTTGCAGAACCGCCAATAATCTTTAGAACCAAACTTGTGAGATGCAATACGTTGTTTCATATTATCAGCAAATAGTATGTTTGCTTCATTGAAGACACGCTTGCACTCATTACGGGCAGAGACAAAGAGACGTCTGTTGCAATCAGGCATGTCTCTCCGGTACAGACGGGAGAAGTGATTCAAGCAACTGAGAATCAAGGAGATGAGCGCGATTTAATTTTTTTTTTCTTGCTGGGATGAAAGCCTCGATGCCGTCTTTTACCCAGGAGGAGACGTCAGACGCACATTTCAAAGCAGGAGGGTTAAAAACCACATTCCAAGGGACGTCTCGAAAGAAATCACCAAACGAGTCCCAGTCGGCGCGTTGATAACAGAAAGTTACTATGTAAATAGGATGTTCTTAGCTGGAAAGGGAGTGGAAGGAGATATTAATAGACACTACGGCTTCATCAGAGTTGCCAAGAGGGCAGAGCTGCGTAGCGCGACAAGAGTCAGGGATGGAGATAAAACAGAGATTGAGAAGGGAAGCGTTACCGTCAGGGTTACTGGAGAAACGGGTAGGAGAATCAACTACTTGCGTGCGGAATTGAGTGACTGAAAAGTTAAGGGTTTGGATATCAGCGAGGTCAGTTACAGAGTGTTTAAGCCATTTGGTATGGTGGGCGTTAATGTCACCGAACACGAATATAAGTGCAAACGGATGTAGAGAGATTGTTTTGTCTATATCAGTGGTTTTCAACCTTTTTGCTCGAGCGGAACCACAAGGAAACATTACAGTGGCTCGAGGAACCCCTGCAATAAATTTTAAAAAAGCTTTCAATTATTAAAAAAAATAAAAATACTCTTCTTCAGATTTATTTACAAAAAAATACAAAGACAAACTGTAAAAAATATTGTATACGTCCATATGCAATTTTAATCTTGCTTCTACGGTTATCACACATGAATTAAAAAAAATTCAGTTTAAATGGGTTACATTTATTTTCATGAAAAATTCAATGAGAAACTTGAGCCTGATTTTTCTTGCACAAATCTTTTAATATTACTCTCAATCATAGTACTTGTGTAATTTCTTGCGGACCCCCTGGGGCTTTACTGGCGGAACGCTAGGGTTCTGAGGAACCCTGGTTGAAAACCACTGGTCTATATTATTGGAAATGCTATCGAGTAAACCGGGGTCTTGAGAGGAAGGCGAACGATAGAGATAACATACTGAATTGAAGAAAAGATAGACGGAGACATATATTTACATTATTCGGAATGGTGTCCTCATCATTGTCGCCATATTTATAACCACGTTTTCTGCCGTTGTACCCTCGGGCCTTCTACATATGTTTGGAATGTCGAACTGAGATCTTTATTTCGCTCACTGTTCTAGTTCCACGTGCCATGTCTAATGGATGTCAGTTATCAGTTACCTCCTGTTAATTCTTCTCTCCAAGTTCTCCACTGCCTTAACCGGATATTGAACTCACACTCTTTGGGTCCTGTCACTGGGTCTAACCAACGCATTTATCCAATGTTTCATGTGTCCTTTGAGGATATCTGTGTATGAATTTATGGGTATTATGTACCTAATATCTTCAGTAACCATTTTTACCAGTGCTCATACTGCAATTTTTGCAATATAGTTCTTTCCGCAGCTGATAGCGTAGACACAATCTTTAGTCATTTTCTCACCTATGGGGGAGTCTTACGCGGGAGAGATATCTGCGAAGTGTCGTCCCGCTTTTGAAGGTTGTCCTGATGTTATATGGACCGCGGGTCCTTTGTATTATCTCTGATAACCGCTTCACAGGCAGACTGTTTTCTGAGTGTTGTTGTCCTCATCTCAGAGATATAGACACATACGGAGACACATATACGAACGATCTGAATATTCCAAAGATAGTTTCTTAGACAGTGGTAAATGATCGCGGACATAAACACTCAGGTCATGCATGTAGATTTTAGAGTTCTTTCTAAGGCGATGGGGGCATGCGATAATGGAGAAACCAGAGAAAGAGAAATTAAGATACGTCTTGCAGAGAGTTAGTATATCAAGAGACCTTTCGAAGAGGTACGATTTCACACTGTAGAAGTTGGTACTAATACAACGGATATTGGAGAAGGAAATGTCAAAGGGTGTAGGTGATTTTTTAGCTGGTTTAGGTTCATATTTTTCATTGTTTATGGTCATATTGAGTTATATTGGTAAATAAAAGGTCTAAT